TTTGTGCCAACGTTGAAGATGGAGTAAGGAGGAGTAAGGAGGACACAAGCCAAGGAATATGGGTGGCTTCTAGAAGCTGATAAAGGTGAGGAAAAGGATTCTTCCTCAGAGCCTTCAACATAGCCCTGCAGACACATTAATTTTAGCCCAGTGAGAACCTTTCTGACTTCTGACCTCCAGAACTGGGAGATAGTAAACTTGTATTGTTTTAAAACACTAAATTTGGGGTAATTTGTTATAGTAACAGAAGGAAACTAAATAACCCCAACAGATGAGAGGAGGAAATAACCCGTATTACTATACCCAGCTTCTCTCTTCTACCATGCCCTAAGGCCACTGACCATCCCCACTCAGTGTGTCAACCTAGCCACGCTGTTCCAAGTCCCCAGCTCCGTGAGCATATTACAGTGGCTATCTGGTAATACTGCATGAGTGTAAGCAGTGGTGTGCTGCAGAGGGCTTATACTGGCTCTCAAGACCTAATTGTTAAATTTTCAGAAATTGTACCAGCCACTTGTTAAACATAGCCATCATTAAAAATTAAATTACATAAACTTACAATCTAAATAAGGTATATTACAAAGATAATAAATACTCAAAGCTCATCCCTTCCTTATTTTACTCTATTTAATCATTATCTATGCTTGCGAAGTTATTCACCTCTATTGCATCTGTATAGTGGAAATATTGTATAATGGTGTGCCATGCATATCTTTGCAACTCTGCATTCAGTGACATTATTTTGGCAGCTTGAAATGGGCCATGGTGGGAGTATTGGCACCTTGGAAAGAGGCAAATGCTACCAATCAAATCTTCTCCCTTCCCCCATCCCAGAGCTGGTTATGTATTTGTCACTTACATATAGGGCAGGTGATATCTGACCAACAGCTGTGTTGCCAACAGCTTCAGGGTGTACTTTGTACATATCACAACAAAGACCATAAATATTTGGCCAAAGGAAGTCCCAGGAACCAGTGAGACAAAATTTATCTGCCAGGCCCCTTGAGGCCTCACAATGTCTGGGTCTAATTCATCTTTGTTTTCCCAATGCAGTGAGTGCTCAGTAAATGTCAACTAAATAAAATGAATCCATGATTTCCTCAAGGGGAAAAGTTAAATCTAACTTGACTAAAGCCTTCTAGATTGCACAATGACTAGCACTTTTCTTTTCTCTATAACTGTTATCATAAACATTAACTCCATTTAATTGTTAATTAATTGAAATCAATAAGAAATGTTCCCTAAATGTTAGGAGTTATTATCATTACAATTATAACTGTTTAGCCCAGAGTGGATCCAAATCCCTTGATACGTCAGTGTTTTTCTATATGTATCTTTTTTCTAAAGCAAAATGAGGGAGCGCTCATATTTATATTTTGAATAATACTTCATTATGAGAGCTTTTCTTGTCTTAGCTTTTAGAAAGTTTCTAACAATCAATAGGCCAGGTTAGAAATTTTCACTAACAAATAAAATTGCTAGTAAACTAAAACTGCTAGTGGTACACACCTGTAGTAATTAAAGACAAATAGTTACACATTTTCCTGCCTTTGCCAAATGACAATGAGGGAAAGTTGATAAAGAAGCTTCTTTACAGAAGAATTCCAGATAATAAATGTGGAGGGAGGACAGAATTTTAAAAACTGCTATTTTGTAATTTTTAACAAAGAAATTGATTTAAAGCAAAGATCATCTTGATCCAATCGATGAGGGTTTGATGGAGGATACACTGGGGAATCAGGCTTCCACTCCTTATATCTACTCATCAGTCATATTAACTGCAAGTGGGGCAAGCATGCCATTTACATGCTTTCTGACGAGATGCAGGATAAACTATATAGCATTGCTTCTGAGTCATTCCTGCCAAAGTGACTAACATGCATCTCCTACAGGTTTTTTTTTTTTTTTTTTTTTTTTTTGAGACAGAGTTTCGCTCTTGTTACCCAGGCTGGAGTGCAATGGCGCAATCTCGGCTCACAGCACCCTCCGCCTCCTGGGTTCAGGCAATTCTCCTGCCTCAGCCTCCTCAGTAGCTGGGATTACAGGCACGCACCACCATGCCCAGCTAATTTTTTGTAGTTTTAGTAGAGACGGGGTTTCACCATGTTGACCAGGATGGTCTCGATCTCTTGACCTCGTGATCCACCCGCCTCGACCTCCCAAAGTGCTGGAATTATAGGCGTGAGCCACCGCGCCCCGCCTCTCCTACAGGTTTTATTTTATTTTATTTATTTTGTTTAGACAGAGTCTCCTTCCGTCACCCAGGCTAGAATGTGCTGGTGCAATCTCAGCTCACTACAACCTCTGCCTCTGTCCTCCAGGTTTTAGATCTAACTTCCAGTTTATAAAAACTCCCAGCATTTTCTTTCAGAATTTTGACTGGGCTCAGTAGCTCATGCCTGCAATCCAGCACTTCTAGAGGCTGAGGCAGGAGGATTGCTTGAGGCCAGGAGTTCAGAACTAGCCTGGACAACATAGCAAGACCCCATCTCTAAAAAAAAAAATAACCTTTTTCTAAAACTTAGCCGGGCATGGTGGCAGACACCTGTAGTTCTAACTACTCAGTAGGCTATGGTAGGAGGATGGCTTGAGCTTAGGAGTTTAAACCTGCAGCAAACTATGATTGTACCACCGCATTCCAGCATGGGTGACAGAGTGAGATCACGTCTCAAAAAACAAAAAAAAGTCTAGGGATCAGAGGAGGGACCAAGTAAGGGATACCAAAAGGGAGCTGATGGACATGTGCAGAATGTTGAACTATTGGACATCTGAACAAAAAGAGAGACCAAGAGGTGCTTTAGATGAGAAGAGACAAGGCTTTCTCACAAAGCTAAACATAAGTATACACGCTGAAAACATATGTCCATACAAAATTTATGCAAACATATTTATAGCAGCTTTATTCATAATAGCCCAAGTTGGAAACAATCCAGATGTTCAGTAAGAGGAATATGCATAAACAAATTGTAGTGAATGCACACAGTGGCATGCAACTCAGCAACAACACGGATGGACCTCAAGAATATCATGCTGAGCACAAAAAGCCATACTCGAAAAGACTACATACTGCAAGCATGCACTTTATATAGCATTCTAGAACACACAAAACTTATCCATGGTGAAAGAAATCAGAGAAGTGGTTGGGGGTGAGGACAGAGATGGCTGCCAATGCACAGGTGGTAACTTTCTGAGGTGATGGGAATGTTCTCCATCTTGATGAGGGCGTGGGATTCCAAGTGTGTGCATTTGTCAGCACTCATTGAATTGTATGCTTAGTGCCTGGGCCTTTCACTATATGTAAGGATAAGTCAATTAAGAGGGATGGAGAGGAAGGACAAGGAATGGGAGGTGGAGAGAGAGAGAGAGAAAGAGAAACTTGGACCTAACAACCAGACAACAGCAGTAAGTTTTCAAGAGCATCTACATGTAGACTCCTTGTATGGTCATTTAGATCAGGGGTGTCCAATCTTTTGGCTTCCCTGGACCACACTGGAAGAAGAATTGTCTTTTACCACAAATAAAATACACTAATACTAGCGATAGCTGATAAGCTGAAAAAGAAAAATCACACCAAAAAAAAATCAAGATGTTTTTAAAAAGTTTATGAATTTGTGTTGGGTTGCATTCAATGCTGTCCTGAGCTACATGTGACTCGTGGGCCACGGGTTGGACAAGCTTGGTTTAGATGACTCCAAGGAATTATAAATTTTTTTAATGAAATAATGGCATGTGGCTGTGTAAGAAAATGCTGGCCAGATGCGGTGGTTCACGCCTGTAATCCTAGCACTTTGGGAGGCAGAGGTTAGTAGATCACTTGAGATCAGGAGTTCCAGACCAGCCTGACCAACATGAAGAAACTCCATCTCTACTAAAATACAAAAATTAGCCAGGCATGTTGTTGTGCACCTGTAGTCCCAGCTACTTGGGAGACTGAGGCGGGAGAATCACTTGAACCCAGGAGGTGGAGGCTGCAGTGAGCTTAAATTCCAGCCTGGGTGACATAGTGAGACTCTGTCTCAAAAAAATAAAAAAGAAGCTGGGCGTGGTGGCTCACGCTTGTAATCCCAACACTTTGGGAGGCCAAGGCAGGCGATGACCTGAGGTCAGGAGTTCAAAACCAGCCTGACCAACATGGAGAAACACTGTCTCTACTAAAAATACAAAACTAGCTGGGTGTGGTGGCGTATACCTCCCAAGTAATCCCAATTACTTGGGAGTCTGAGGCAGGAGAATTGCTTGAACCTGGGAGGCAGAGTTTGCTGTGAGCCGAGATTTCGCCATTGCACTCCAGCCCAGGCAACAAGAACGAAACTCCGTCTCAAAAGAAAAAAAAAGGAAAGAAAGAAAGAAGGAAAGAAAAGAAAAAAAGAAAATGCCCACAGTTTTCAGCAATGCATACTGCAGCATTTTGAGTAAAGTGACGTGATGCCTAGGTTACAATACTTAAAGGGGACAAATAGCAATAAAAAAATAAAAACGGATACATAAAGCAAGAGTGACAAAAACTTGATTCCAGAACTTAGGTGGTAGGTATATGGGGATTTATAGTTCTTTCCTCTGTTTTGTATGTACGTGAAAATGTTCAAAATAAAAAGATTGGCTGCCTTCGGTAAACAAAGAGGGGCTGTAATACCCACAATGTCAAAGTAGAAAGTATATGAGTGCTCTCAAAGTTACCTCTCTTAATAGACCAGAGATCAACTCTCCCTGCTTTCTTCCTGCCTTGGCTGATGGTTTACCTTTTATTAAAATTCTCACATCCCAAGACCTTGATTACTAATGGTTATATTAATCACTCTTATTTCATATCTCAATCAACAAATCAATATTTATTGAGTATTGACCACGACTGTGCCACTGAGAACATCCGGAAACCTCCTCCTCCTTCCGTTCTCTGCCCGACCCGCAGGAGTCGCTCGCCAGAACGGTCGTTTCTGCCTGGTAGAACCTCATATCCCCACCAGGGGGCGCGCCCTCACTGAATTTGGTCCGCGGCTGCTTCAGGAAAGATAAAATCAGCCCCGCAGTCTGAGTAACTGGTTACCAGGGTTTCGGCGCGCCCAGGACCGGTCATCGTTTAGGCACGTCTCTGGTGACCTCATTCCACAGTCTTTTTGGGGAAACAATTCCTGTTTGAGCAGAACAGGTAAGGCAATTCGTAACTGGAAGATGACTACGCGGCTTCTAAAGGACATCCTGTGTTGGGACATCCTGACTCCCCCTGGGGCTTAGCTTTGGGTGTGGACCCTTCGTCCTCACTTGGTGGCTGGGAAAGGAGTCGAGTCACCCTTCTTTGCAAGGGCACAGCCCCTTCTTTGTCCTGGGTAGGTCTGGCTGGCAGAGCAGGAGTGAGCTGGCCCGTGTGGACAGGGGCGTCACTAGGGACAGACGAGGGGCCTCGACCTTCAGAAACCTCGGTGGCGGGGAACACCCCGAAGATGGGGGGACCGCTCTAAACCGCCATGTGCTCTGCAGGCCCGGGCGCCCACTCTCCTGCACACCCCTGGGCTTCCCGTCCCCTCCGGCCACGCACTGAGTGCCTGCTGGGCTCCAGGCCACCTTCCTGCTCCGTGAGCCACGCCTTCAGAGGACACAGGGCTTGAGGGGGAGCATGAGAGAGGGAGGGTGTCTTTCAATTGCAGATCTGATCCTGCTACTTCCCGCTCAGGAAAATCCTTTAGAGGCGGCAGCTTCGGATGGCTCCCTGTGGCCCCCAATTAAAAGCAGAAGCCCTTGGCAGGTGTGGTGGCTCACGCCTGTAATCCCAGCACTTTGGAAGGCCAAGGCGGCCGGATCATGAGGTCAGGAGATGGAGACCATCCTGGCTAATACAGTGAAACCTTGTCTCTACTAAAAATACAAAAATTAGCCGGGGTAGTGGTGTGTGCCTGTAGTGCCAACTACTCGGGAGACCGAGGCAGGAGAATCTCTTGAACCGGGGAGGTGGAGGTTGAAGTTAGCCAAGCTCGTGCCATTGCACTCCAGCCTGGGCAAAAAAGAGACACACTGTCTCAAAGTCTCAAAAAAAAAAAAAAAAAAAAAAAAGAGAAAAGAAAAGAAAATCAGTATGGTGTAACAGAAGCACTTTTGCAGCTTCAGGCACAAAACTCTGCTAACGTAGAGGGGCAAGAGTCTGCTGGACCTTGTGGGGATGGAGAGGAGGAAGATGCTAAGTTTAGGGAAGGTTTACAGAGGAGGTGGGGATTTGAAGGTCAGATTAGCCAGTCAGCCAGTAAATGCTTACCGAGTGACTTCTGTGTGCCAGGCACTGTTACAGGTGCTGCCCTCACGGAGCTGGCATTCTAGTGGGGTGGGGGTGAGGGGTGCCACAGGGCATAAATATTAATAAAAAATAGAATAAGTAAGTGCATCTTATAGCGGGTTATAATGCTGTAGGGAAAATAGAATGGCGTAGGAAGGTCAGGGGAGTTGGAGAGGGAGTTCGCATTTTGGGGGAGGTGGTCAGGTAAGCCTCATGGAGAAGGTGACATTTGAGCAAGAACTTTCCAGAAGAGAAGAAAAAAGCAAAGCCCAGGTATGGTTATCGAGGGGAAGTGATCCAGACACAGGAAGCAGCCAGGACAAAAATCCCTGAGGCCAGAATTTGCTGGCATGTTTGAATAACAGCAAGAAGGTCAGTGTGGCTGGAGCAGAGGGCAGGGAAGGAGGAGATAAGGTCAGATTGCGGAAGGCCTTGTGGGTAGTTTTAAAGACTTGGACTTTGACTCTAAGAGAAATGCACCATCATAGGAGCAGTGGTATGCAGGCAAACCAGGTCTCAAAAAAAAAAAGGCCTGATTTGTAGCATTTGCCAATTTCTGTGGTGTAAATCTCCCACCTTGGCCTATTTCAGGCCATCAGTTGGCATCCCTGACCACAGAGCAGGGAAGAGATGTGCAGAATTGGCCCTCACTAACCAATGCTTGCCACTCCAGCCCACCCCTGCTTTGGAGAGCTTTGAGCAGAGATACAACGTGATCTGACTGTGTTGAAAGGAGGTCACTCTGGCTGCTGTGAGCAGACGGAGGGGGCTAGGGGAGCAAGGGCAGAAGCAGGGAACATTTAGGAAGCTCTTATAGTGATTTGGATAAGAGAGGACATACTCAGAGATTAGGTATTCACTACCAATATGGTGACTGAAAGGCAGATTCTAGGTGTCTTCTGAAGGCAGCATGTAGAAGCCCACCTGAATGTCTTGCCAGACAGATGTAGGGTTTGAGCGAAGGAAAGCAATTCATGGTGGCCCTAAGCTTCAGTAGAAGTTTTAGGGGGAATGGGAGGAAAGGCATTCTAGGCACAGGGTACAGCATGTGAAAAGCCATGTACATAAGCACATATTCTATTTGGGAAAAGAAATGAGGAGTGTGGCTGTGGAACCAGTTATGTGGGCAGAGGCAACAGACAAAGCTTGAAAAGAGGGTCCTGTTCAGGTACACCCCAGACAGGAGCCAGAACTTCCAGGCACTTTTGAAGATATTCCTCCTCCAGGGCCAGCAGGAAGAATATCTCTTCCACAAAAGTCTTTTTTTTTTTTTTTTTTTTTTTTTTTTGAGATGATAGTGTCTCACTCTGTCACCCAGACTAAATGCAGTGGATCATGGCTCACTGAAGCCTCCACCTCCTAGGCTCAAGTGATCCTCTTACCTCAGCCTTCTAAGTAGCTGGGATGACAGGCATGCACCACCACATCTGGCTACTTTTTAATTTATTTTTGTGGAGATGGGATTTCGCCATATTTCCCAGGCTGGTCTTGAACTCCTGAGCTCAAATGATCTGCCTGCCTCAGCCTCCCAAAGTGCTGGATTACAGGCATGAGCCACCATACCTGGCCCCACAAAGTCTTTCTGCACAGCACTTGCAATTCTATTCCAGATGGATCTTGAAGTTCAAACCCCACCTATGCCACAGAATAGTTATTACTTATTCAGAGGCAGTTTTGGGCTGGTTTCCATACTTAGATGTTTTGTTTTCCCAGTTAGCCTGGTAGTGTGTGTTCAGGGGCTGACCTAGCCAGGGCTGAACTCACAGAGTCTCTCAGGGATATTTACTGTATTCAGATGACCCAGGCTCCAAAAAAGCAAAGAATAGATAGATAGAGTTCATGCTCAGAGTCTGAAGGGGGTATTCATCTGTCTCCACCAAAGATGGAATCCCTGTAAAAGGACCAGAAGTGTGTGTGTGTGTGTGTGTGTGTGTGTGTGTGTCTTTGTAGGTATGTGGTATGTCTGTTTTTGAGTATTAAACATATTAATAACAACTATCCTGTATTAGATGCCTACTGGGCACCAAGAACTTGATATTCCTATTGAAGCCTCACGACTCAGCTCAGTGAGGAATATAATTATGGAATCTCTGATTAACAAGCCAGTCATGAGAATGACATGTGACTCCCTGATTCATTTTATCTTTGGAGATATTTGATGATTCTTACAGCTTATTTATTTGCAAAATAAATTTTATGAATTTATCCCCCTTACAGTTTTTATGAGCTTGCAAGTGTCTGTAATTCAAACCCAACTATGCATGATAACTAAGATTAATTTAAAAAATACAAATGCGTGTCTGCATTCAATGTTTGTAATGAATGGTAATACTAATAGATGGATAGCTCTAAGCCAAATGATTTTACTAAAATAAAATGCTCATTTGAATAACTGCTAGATCATGAAGAATAAATCTTGAGCTAAAAGCAAAATAATGATAATAATGTCAGTTACAAATGTGTATTCTGTGCGCTTTGGTAATTTGTCCTAAACTTACCCTTAGGAACACAAGTTACAAAATGCTTCTGTTGCTATGTTGATGCTCAGGATTGTAGACTATCCTGAGGGTCACACAAACTCTCTCCTTGACTCCCTTCATCTATTTCTTGCCACAGAGAAAGTCATGCAAGAAATACAGCTGTCTCTGTCCTCCATGTGGCATGAGCTGGGGCTGGGCTTTTTGCAGTTCAAGTGGAAATCCCCAGGAAATAGCCCTTATAGACCAACTCTAAGCCAGGGGCAAATGAGGATGAGTCCTTCAAAAACAGTTGCTATTCCCCAGTGCTGTGTGTGCGAGTATGGGCTTGTGTGTGCTGGGGGGTTGCGAATGCGTTGCTGACTGACCCTCATATCCTTTCTGGACCTGAGAGCATTTCACAACAACAAAGCGTTTTCTAAGATAAAGATTCCAAAAAGTAGCTAGAAAAGAGCCTCTGGTAGTCATGGGGTCGGTCATCAGGCAAGCACTTCACTCACCACATCCTTAGAAATAGTGACACTTCTGTTGGTGTTTGGTTTCTGTCGTCCTGGCAACAACTATCTCTAAACGATCCTTCTCCTGGGGGCACCTCTGAAAGGAGCTGCGCAAAGGGCTGGGGGAAATGGTCTGGCCATATTTCCCAAAATGAAGCGAAAGTGCTGAAGACTTTTCTAGGGAGAGGGTGAAGATTTAAATGGCCCTGCAGTGATTTGTTTATTGTTTATATTTGTGTTTTAACCTCCTCTTACTCCTACAAGGGGTCAACAGGAAGTAGGCAGAGCTCCCAGAGCAGCTCTACCCACAGAGTAGGCGTTCAAGCAATAAATGTCGGTTGCATGGGATGGAGTGACACAATCTTAAAGGCGTTGTAACATTTCTTTTCTAATTGTTTTGCAGACAAGGAAATAGAGAGGTTAAATTACGTGGCCAAAGTCACAAAGCAGCCTAACAACAGATCCCACCCCAGGGCTCCTGGCCGGCTGTCAGCTGCTCCAGCATCCTCCTGGTTCAGCCCAGCCAGCTGAGGTTCCTGAAGGGAGCACTGGCCTGTGAGTTTGCAAGAGCTCTCTGTCCCCCTGCTCTGCCTGGGCCAGGCTCCATAGGAGACACTGCTGCTTTGTGTCACCCTCCTTGGCACAAGATGAAATCAGGTGGTCCCCATTCTTCCTGTCACACTCCGCCAAATCTATCTGAACACATTTCCTGTGCACAAAGCCAGCTTGCCAATTATCTGCTCCAATTAAGGAGAGAGAGATGTGGTTAATTCAGTCACCCCAGCAAGCTGACCAAGGCGAACGGTGAGGTTGGCATTGCTGGCCACAGGTCCTCTCAGTGGTCCTGTTCATGCTGCTTGGCCTGGCACTCCTTCCTACCCCCAGATGGCCAGTGCGGTTTCTTCACCTC